GGCTTTCAAAAAGTGGCAAAACAATTTCAAGTCAACAACAGTTGTGAAAATAATGCAGCATTATTTCACCCAGATAGAAGGGTCTATGGATTGCATTTGGGACAACAGTGCAGTATCTTAGAGACACTTGAAAATACTAAAGAATTACTAAACTGATGTAATTTTTCAGTGATGTAATAATAACAGCAACAGTATTGACATGTTTAAAATTTTCACAATGGCAAAACGTGTCTGTGTCACAGTTTTAATGCCTGCTGCAATTAGATACTGTTTTTATTGTTGCTATTTTTGAAACTAAAATCTTTCTGTACTCAAGGTGTGAAAACCGCAGAAGGTGACATTTCACTAATGACTCTTCCATGAAATTGACGAAGATGGGTAGATGTAGTGCCTTTATCCATGGCCCCCGAGAAAGGAGAGAATCTTTTCTGAAATAATGATGGAGTTGTTAGACCTAATTCTTTTGTGTTGTAGAATTCCAAATCCTACATCTACCATCCAGATTCTCTTCAAGTGAAATGGTAATGAAAAGGAGGCATTCTGTCCTTATGTGACTTTACAGTCTGTCAACTTTGTCTAGGTCTCTTCGTTCGTTCGTTCGTTCGTTCGTTCCTTCCTTCCTTCCTTCCTTCCTTCCTTCCTTCCTTTCTCCATCCCTACCTTTTCTTTCCTAAGAAACAATCTATTTGCAGAAAAATACGTGTGTGTGTGTGTGTGTGTGTGTGTGTGTGTGTGTGTGTGTGTAGACCCACTTATGCTACAGCGTGCATGTGGAATTTAGAATACAACCGCAGACATCCTGGGTCCTTACCTTTCACGTTGATTGAAAGAAGGTTTGTCTCTGTTTTTGGCCACAGCCTACACCAGGCTAGCTGGCCAATGAGCTTCCAGGGATCTTCTACTTTCAGCTTCAATCATCACCATAGAAACTCTGAATTACAGATACACACTAATACACTTTGTTTCCTGGGGATTGTGTTGATTCAAGCACAGGTCTTATACAGTCACAGCAAGTTTTTTTTTTTTTTTTTTTTACTCAATGCACTCTTTCTCCAATTTATGTTCTTTGGAAGAAGTTTAGGATTGTGTTTGAAGGGACTAGCTCCCCATTTTGGCAGCCATGACAGTCTAACACGTGCTTGCCTGAACTTGCCTTGGTCACTAGGAGGAAAGATGTCTGTCTCATGGCAAGGAACCAATCAGAAGTTAGCTGGTGGTGCTATGCTCTACAGCTCTGGGTGTGCTTTACGGACAAGTGCACAACAATGATGTACAGAGCATAACAACCACCCTGGGAGGGCCTATGGGCCATAACAACCATTGGAAGAAGTTTAGGATTGTGTTTGAAGGGACTAGCTCCCCATTTTGGCAGCCATGACAGTCTAACACGTGCTTGCCTGAACTTGCCTTGGTCACTAGGAGGAAAGATGTCTGTCTCATGGCAAGGAACCAATCAGAAGTTAGCTGGTGGTGCTATGCTCTACAGCTCTGGGTGTGCTTTACGGACAAGTGCACAACAATGATGTACAGAGCATAACAACCACCCTGGGAGGGCCTATGGGCCATAACAACCAGTTGGCCAATCAACTCAGGGCACGTCTTCCAAGCCTGGAGGCACACCAATCCTGAGCCTGTGCGTACCCCTAGACACTCCCCTTACACTGCCCTATAAGATCTCTGTCCAGGGGTTTCAAAGGGTCTTTCCCCAGCCATCTGCCATGGTGGATGGATGAAAGGCTAGAGCTAATGGGGTTAGCTCATTAAACAACTTCAATAAAAGACTCATTGCTTTTGCATTGAATTGGGCCTCTTGGTGATTTGGGGGTTCAGAATTTGGGTACAACATGTTCATATTTGTCTTCTTCAAAATAATCTTGACCACTTCTGGAATTATACAGAGAATTTGCTTTCAAGTTTTTATTGTATTAGGAAACAGTTTCCAAGTCTTCCAAAAGCCATTGTATTTGAGACATAGCAATATTTTCTTGATCTCTTTCTCATGTCTAAAGGTGTAACATTCTATCTCACTGTTTGGCCCATGCACCTACTGCAGTAATTCTTAATAAGCTCACATTTAATGCAAAGGAAGTTTTATATCTAGCTTCAGCTCTCAGCTTCTCCTCTCTACTCTTTGATGGATTCTTAGGAGGTGAAACTTGGGGTTCAGAATAGCTTTTCCTTTCTGATGGGAAAATATAAAATGAACACACTTAGTTGGAGACATGAAATTGAGAGCATTCATACCTCTCTCTAATCTGATGGTGTTCATGGGCATTTCCCTTTGTCCTGCTACACATTCAGAGAGCTTTTCTTATCAGAGCATATTGTTGAATTAATAGCGATTCACCTATTTCTCTGGTAATAAATACAATATTAATATACTCTTTAAGCAATTTGAAATTATACTGTGTACAAAGTCTTTATTTAATCTTCCCGTACAGGTATCAGGATAAAATTGCACTTATCTACCCTATATTTATCAGTCTATCCACCCTCCCACCTATCTACCTATCTATCAGGCATTTACTGGGACATACCTCCCTTACAGCGTCACTTGACAACTCCCATAATGTAATTTCGTGATTGTTAGTAGTCAATTTTCCATTATTTGCACTATATTATAATGAGTGTCTCTGAGAGGCATTTTATAAGAATAATAGGGGAACATACATGAAGACCTAGGAGAGATCTCATGCTAGCAACTCAACAACACCTCTAAAAGCTCTAGAACAAAAATAAGCAAACACATCCAAGAAGAGTAGACAGCAGGAGATAATCAAACTGAGACCTCAAATCAATAAAATAGAAACAAAGAGAAAAATGCAAAGAATCAATGAAACCAAGAGCTGGGTCTTCCAGGAAATTGATAAACCCCTCCACACTAGCTAAAAGGGCACATGGAGAATATCCAAATCAACAAAATAAAAAATAAAAATGGGACATAACAACAGACTCAGGTAATACAGAGAATAATTAGGTTATTTTTCAAAAACCTATCTATACTCCATAAAAATGCTTCCTTTTTTAAGCTGCCTTGGTTATTGTATCTTATCACAGAAATATAAAAGCAGCTAAGACAGGAGCATTTCACATTTAAACTATGAAACCTGGGAAACTCACCAAGATAATTTGTAAATTTGTTTTATTGCTTCAGACAAAACGAGAGGATCCTATAATATTAAATTTACCAGGGCTAAAGTTTAGCTGTTACTGCTCTATCAGAAGACCTGAGTTTTGGTTCCAGTGCCTTCATTAAGTGGCTCCCAAAAGAAAGAATATGCATATAACAAAAGTTTAGAGGTATCTGATGGCCCCATCTGGCTTCCAAAGGTGTATATACACACACACACACACACACACACACACACACCCACACACACACACACACACACACACACACACACACACACACACAGCTTAATCTAAAATTACCCCTATTAACTTGTGGCTTGCCTGCCACATGTGGCTCCATGTAGTTGAAGATAGCTCTATGTTTAATCCAGCACAAAGTTATACACTTACTTAAAATGTGTCTTATTTAGAGTTACTATTGCTTAAATGAAATGCCATGACCAAAAGCAAGTTATGGAGGAAAGGGCTGATTTGATCTACACTTACACCTCACAATTTATAGTTCAAGGAAGTCAAGAATCAAGAAGGTCAGAAACCTGGAGGCATAAGTTGATGCAGAGGCCATGGAAGTGTGCTATTTACTGTTTTGGTCCTCATGACTTGCTCTTCATGCCTTGCTCAGCATGATTCTTTAGCACCAAGGACTACCAGCTCATGGGTAACACCAACCACACCGATATGAGCCTTCCCACATCAATCACTAATTAAGAAAATGCCCTACAGGCTTGCCTGCAACTCAATGGAGGAATTTTCTCTATTGAGGTTCCCTCCTCTCTGATGTGGTGATTTAAATAAAAATTTCTCCCATCAGGTCATATATTTTAATGCTTAGTCTTCATGGAGGTAGCAATACTTGAGAAGTATTAGGAGGTGTAGAAACCTTCTTATTTTGTATATTTTAATACTACTAATATGAACAACAGTATGCAAATATTTCTTTTAGATCATGCTTTCAATTGTTTGGGATATATTCTATGTTGTGGGATTGCCGGCAATTTCCTTTTTGTTTTTTTTTAAGGGTCTGCCATCCTTTTTTCCACAGTTGTTTTATCATTTGCCAATCTCACTGAGTGTGCATAAAATTTCCAATGTCCATATCATTAAGGGATATTTTTACTGTCTTTGATAGCAGCAGTCCTTCTTACTACATAGCTCAATCATTTTTTATTTTAAGTTACTTAATGATTAGAGATTCTGATCATCCATTCACATATTTTTGATCATTTATATGCCTCACTTAAACAAGAGACTATTTAAAACTTCAATCTGTTTCAGTGGGTTATTTATTGTTTCTGTCAAGTTTTGGTATTTCTTTATTCTAAATAGAAAAAGATTATTTATAATTAGAAAATATTTTCTTCAAGTTTAAAGATTTCCTCTAATTTGATAAATATGCACAAAAATAATCAGGTTTATAAAATGAACTCATCCTATATGCTTTATAAAACTGATGCCCCCTTGTGTACTTGGGTCAATGTGCTCTGGCAAGGAACAGAACCCCTTCAGATTGGTATGGAAGTCTCTGCAGTTTAGCAGATATTGTGACATTCTTCTAGCTCCTCTCTCTGACACTGAAGTCATTTTAAAGTCCAGCCCACAGAAACTCTTATATAAAGTGCATGACAATACAACTTGGGTTTTGATAGTTAAAAGAATATTTAATGGAGAGAATAAGAAAAGAACAAAGTTATCTAAAACAGAATCTTGAAACCTTGACACTTGAGGCAGTTCTGAATTGCAGGACCAAAGGCTTTTTAAGATGGGAAGTGTATAAAGGGAGATATTTAAATTCTACACATAAACTGATTTTTCTCAATCCTATCAAGCTACTTGTGGATGTTTTTAACTAATCTACTTTGCTCTGGTTCAACAAAATATTCTAATTTCGTCTTCGGATGCCACCGATTGGCAGTGCCGATAATGCCACAGGCTCAGCTGATGCCAGTAGGGGCTCCTGTATGGGGGATATGTCCTTTAAGAGAACTCTAGGGTCCTTTAGCTCACCCTTGTCTGCTGGGACACCCATGTCCTTACAGCCTTGTGCCCCTGCAGTTTGCCTACCTGGGGCGTCTGGCTCATGAGGTCGGGTGGAAATACCAGGCAGTAACAGCCACGCTGGAGGAGAAATTGAAGGAAAAGGCCAAGATCCACTATTGGAAAAAGAAGCAGCTCTTGAGGCTACGGGAAACAGGCAGAAAAGAACGTGAAGAAGAAAATAAGCAAGTTCACAGAGGTCCTCAAGACCAACGGACTCCTGGTGTGAGCCCAATAAAGACTGTTTGTGCTAAAAAAAAAAAAAATTCTAATTTCTGCTGCAGAGCAGACTTCCGTCATCTCCTGTTTTATTTCATTCATTAATTACTTCAGTCTTCTTCCTCGATATGCTTGCATTCGTTATAGCTGGTTTGGTGTTGTCTGAATGTTCATCTTCTTAGGCATTGTTTCCTGAACAGCCTAAATGTGTACTTTGCTCTGAATCTTGTTTAACTTTTGGTCATGTCTGAGAATCAGCAACTGTCACATCCTTTTTATATTTTATCTTTTACCTTTTAAGTGACATCCTGCTTTGGGAATTTGGTGCAGATACACATTGGTTTCCATTTTTCTTCAAAAGAGTGAGAGCCCTTTAAAATCATGTTCTTGCTTACCTAAGTTTCTCATCTGTGGCCACTGAGAGTCAGATAGGACAACTGAGTCACTGTACGATACAAGGACCAGAGTTTTAGACAAGGAAACGGAATTACACAAATGTGGCAGGCTAGGAATAGTTAAGGTCAAAGAAATCATCCCCAAAGTTCAGAAAAGTCCTCAGAGAGACCTCAGCCAGGAGGTGGGACATGATGGCTAAATGTGACCTGAAAATTGGTCATTATTTAAAATAATTTCTGAATCCTCAATAACTATATCAGCCTGCGACAGTGAAGAACACACTTGCTGAGAGCTCTCCAGGATTCCACTGGGACACAGCCTATGCCCACACACCTGCCTTTAACTCCCTCCAGGAAACAACAGCCCCATCTTTTTTGGTTACAATTCTGACACCAGTTCATTTTCCTGACAAACTCTAAGGCTATTCCAGGCAAATAGGTGAACTCTGAACAGTGATTTCAGTTCATTATGGTTAGACACGACCTGAGAAGGACAGTCAATGGGCTGATGTCCCTTCCTTCTCTCACATTTTGGATTTCTTGGAAACATTGTACACAAGTCACGTTGTACTTGTACTTTAGTCTATGTCATGATTTTATCTTATACCCTACATTTATGAGTCAGAAGAACTAAACTTTGGGATAAAAAGATTTAAAAATCTAAAAGAAAGTTTTTTTTTTTAATTTTAGCCCTTGTAGATGGCATTATACAAAAATGAGAAAAATCAAAGGTGTATTCAAGGAATAAGGCATAGCTACCTGGAATAGGGTCACATATATAGTGACCTGGAATGTATCTGGGGTGCTAGCAATGTATTTAAGGACCTTTATGTTTTTGGATTACTTTTGCTTCAAAATACTACCATTCAATAGTTCCTCTTTACTTAGTGTAAATTGTTATATGCTTTCTAGCAAGCAATATTACTTGTGTACATATTTGTATTTATGTGCACATGTTTGTATTATGCATGTGTGTGGCTGTGCGCGTGCGTGCGTGCGTGTGTGTGTGTGTGTGTGTGTGTGTCTGTGTTTCTGTATGTGATTTTTGTTGGTTCATATGTGGGTTTTTGTGGGTGTGTGCATGTTCATGTGTTGGTGCATGTGTGTATGTGTGAGTTTGAGTGTGTGTCTCTATATCTGCATGTGTGTATTCTCACAAAACTCCCATAGTCTTTTATGTCAGGAACCATGTTTTATATTTCTCTGTATCATTCTCACCCACCAAAGTAATAATCCCCTAGTAGGAACTCAGGAAGTGTTTGTTACTTGATTGATAGTCCAGTATTTCTTTAGCATTTGGACTTCCCCACTGAATGTGTGTGTGTGTTAGAATCCACTAGAGTGTCAGCTGGAGAAAAATCGACATCATAAAACAGTCGAAAATAGCAATGTGGCTGAATTGACAGTGAATGCCTTGAAAAATGTGCTATAAATTCATACTCCAAGCACGTATGTCAAGTTTGGTGTGTGTCCCTGTGCAGTGGAAGAGCAAAGGAGTAGTTTCCTTGAACTGCTCCTGCTTTGTGCATTTCCAGAAATGTACATGAAGCAAGGTCTGAAAGAGAAAATGAACCAGAGACAACTAGATTAGCTTTAAAAGCTCCCTTTTCTAAAACAACAACATCAGTAATATCAAATTTAACAGTTCTTACCCAGGGAAGAATCAGTGATGGAAGTTGACTTTCAGATACTTGGTGATTCAGGGAAGGTAAAGTCAATATTGCCACAGCATAGCCTAAAGGAATGACAGCTGGATAGGCAACAGCTTAGAGATGAGTAGTACAGACTGACAAGTATCTGTGCTTCATGAAATGGTTGAAGGAGTCAGGTTCTTCACTTCTTGTTGCTCTGCTATTCCCCAAGGTGAGTGGATGAGGCTAATTTTTCTGCTTCATATAGACACTGGGCTAAAGGAACTGCATTGAAACAAGAGCTAATTCTTATTGAGCAGGTTATTTATAAGTTGTAAACCTCATGTCTGATCACTTCATATGAATGATCAGTAATATTTTTTAAAATTTTATCTGAAAGAAATCATGGAACTAGTTTAAGGTTCTTGATAAACAATTTTCTTCAATTATTTGTTTCATAGTTCATTAAAATGTAAACTTCATGTATTAATTAATTTTCTACATTCCACAGATATTATTCTGCTTGTTCCCAAATTGCTTGGAACTGGAAAAGGAAGCCATGAAGAGCTTCTCACTACATTCTTTTACTTGCTATTCAAAACAAGCACTTTTTAGTGTGTGTGTGTGTGTGTGTGTGTGTGTGTGTGTGTGTGTGTGAGAGAGAGAGAGAGAGAGAGAGAGAGAGAGAGAGAGAGAGAGAGAGAGAGTTGTGAAGGTCTGGGACACCTACTTTGATTTTTGTTATATCTCTCCCTGGGACCTGGGGCTTGTAAAGTAGAATAAGCAGGTTGGTGACTGATTCCCATGAGATTCTACTGTTTTCACACCCCTAGCCCTAGGATTACATATGCATACCACCTTGCTTGGCTTTTGGTGTGGGTATTAGGGTTTTAAATCAGGTCCTTACACTTACAGAGCTAGCAGTTTAACTATATAAACTACAGGTCCAAATTTGAAAATAGTCTTTATGTCTTCTCATACTAAAATTTTTTAATAATTAAAAAATTAATAATGAATTCTAATGAAAAATTCTCTTCATATAAAATAAATATTTAATATATTTTGAGTAATCTTGATAATAATAATATATGCTTACTAACTGATCCCATAGTGTATATATAAAATTAAAGTATTTGTATTACATATATGGAAACTAATGGCAAGAAAATTCACAAACACTTAATAACTTACATACCTGTAAGCATGCTATTAATTTGGGTACCTAAATATTTTCAACAATTGACTGTGGAATTTTTTTTAATAATATGTGAGGTGAATGTCCTTGTAAGTCAAATGTATTTGCTGAGGTATGTCATCATACTACATATTGTGTAACATGAAAAGTCTCAATGTTTCAAAATTAATAGCTAAACAACAGAACACTTCTGGGCCAGTGAGATGACCCAACCTAGGCAAAGACACTGCTATCAAGCCTTGCAACTTGAGTTCTGTCTCCAGAAGTCACCTGGTAGAAGAAGAGAACCAACTCCCACAGTCCTCTGACTTCCCCAAGCATGACCACACCTATTCCTCTCAGACACACATAAATAAGAAAGTAAACTTAATGTGTAGCATTTTTACTGGCTCCTGAACAAACTGGCGATGAACCCAAAAGACTAGTAGGAGAAATGCCCCATTGCAGATACATAAGGATCTAAAGGACATGGGGCAAGTAAGTCTTGATCTTTCTGTAGATAAGTTCATATTTGTACTGATTTCTACTGCTTTGAGTTAAACTAATTATAGATGAATTTAAATAAAAATGAACTTTTACTCATAATTGAAAGACTGGTCACTGCAATCAGAATAATATGGTGAAGTGAGCAACAGATCGAACTTCTAGAAGATGTTTGGCCAGAACGTATGGAAAGGGCTCTTCTTCTCATGTGGCCTTAGGTAACTTGTAGAGCTCCTTCTGCCCACCACAGTGGGCAACAGAAAGTCACTCATTTGTTGAGCAGACAGAATCAGGCTTCTTTAGAAGACCCCCCTGCCAAAGTAAAAACTAAGTAGCAAAAGAACAAAATGAAGTAGTTTATGAATAATATTGATGATTATTTTTTCTTATTGAACAGTTTACGTGAAGGAATGCTATCCAAACTTATAATTTGCTTTATTTTTTTCTTGAAAGGCAGGAAGAAGTCAACCCAGCAGGAGGAAGGACTAGGCTTTAGGATTTGGGAATGTTTCTACAGTATCTGAGAAAGGTGTCAAAGAGAACTCCCACAGCATACAATGCCATCCACACTTAATCTGGAGAAAACTCCTATGTTCATGAAGCTCCTGGAATATTTAAAGAATCTGCCTAGAGACACTCTGGCATGACAGGATGGCAAAACACATTAGTAAACAGCTCTGTGCTGTCCAGTTGAGAACTAATTTTGATCTCTATGGAAGCCTCAGAACCCAATCTAGCAAAAGGAACATTCAGAGGAAGTTATTATACAATTTTGAATATTTTGAATATCTTATTTCTTTCAAAAGTGTTATAAGTATAGCAACCACCCCTCATCGATGATGCCTCTCATTACAAGAAATGGGTCACCATCTCAGAAACACACATTAGACACAATGCAGGGATCAACAGATCTTGACAATCCCAGCCCCAATGAATATATATGCACCACAGCTCCTGCCTTTATGTTCTGAGAACATCAAAGTGAGAAGGA